CCCCGGCTCCTTCCCATTACGGTTCCAAAGGATCCTTCGGCCCGGTCTTCGTCGTTCTCGCGGCGATCATCGTGCTTGCAGTCGTCGCGTACGTGATCGGACGACTCTGCAATCGCCGTGTCTCTCGGCCAGAAGCTAAGCATAGGCATCGTTCTCAGTCCACCAGAGGTGACGACATAGAGAATCCGCTCGGCTTCACTGATCCCACCATGGCAGCTGCTAGAACAAAGGAAGGCAAAGGCAGTGCTGCCACCACGCGGCATGCAGGAGAACGTTCTGCAGGTGCGTCGTGAACCGGCTATGGTTTGACCTCTCGAGCCTTGGCGAGAACATGTGTTCGCATCCGATGATGATATGGGTTCGACATTGTGGAATAAAGAAGCATCGTCGACTGGATCCTTTATGGCATCATAGGATTTCTGGTTGATTGTGATTACGTAGGGAGCTGTAAAAACATGTGTTGCAGTATATTGACACTAGTAATTGTTCGCTATCTTTTAGCTACTACTGCAAGAGCTGTTTGATAATAGTAACAAATCTGGCATATATGTAGTTTATAAATATTACGAGAAAAAATTAGAAAAATTATAATGTAAAATACGAAACTCGTTTTATTAAAATATGATAATAATAATTGACAGCTGTGGGATTTGAACCCACGCCCTTTCGGACCAGAGCCTAAATCTGGCGCCTTAGACCACTCGGCCAAACTGTCACATGTTATATGATTGTCAGTTGTATTATTTATTGTATCAAATCTAACCACCTCCGTTATTAGTTTTAGGCAAACAAAATAAGCCAAAATCTTCATTTGTGCAATTAATTGAATTCCTCTAAACTACTGAGATTTCTTGAATTAGGAAACGAAAACATTTTTATACGAGAAAATATTTTCTTAAGAGGCATTACCATATGAGACATTTCTCCAACGCTATCTTTTCTAGACACATTTAACAGAGATATCTGCCCATATATATGTGATACAGTTTTAGGAACTGAGCTCTGGTCGATCATATATTATGCATAGACTAACTTTCAGATTGTCCATGAAAGTAGTTAAATGAGCTCCAGAAAAGCACAGAGATCAGTCATTCTGGACAAGCCACACAATTTTTAGCACTCACTCTGCCACAAAATAGACTTAGTAGAACTACGTAGCATTACAACTTGTGCGTCAGTTTGGTGCTCCCCAGAGAAGGTTACAGGCTTGGGCGGAAGAGATAATATGCAGAGATGAGAGCACTGAGGGCGAAAGCAAGGAAAGCCAGGAACGATACAGCTACAGAACCAGTAGCCATGTCAGGAAAGGGATCTCTTCCCCAGTTGGACACCCAGTCTCCAGTACGAGCAGTGGCCGAAGATGACGATGAAATTAAGAGATAAGCCAATATCTACAATCAGAAAAGAGAAACAACTCATGCAATTATCAATCTGCTCTTGTAAATACAATTATTTTGGTCAGGTTGTAACTATTTTGGTCAGGTTGGTCATGCAATTACTCTTACAAAATTTCCCCCCTAATTTAGAGATACAATACAATCATAAACCACTCCAGCTGCTCCTATCCATTTTATTCTAGTTTTTCTTTAACATATCTTATGCAATTTTTCCATCTACTAAAACACTGAAAACCATGATATCAATTATCTGTACACCTTCCAGATCAACTTTACATTCAATTCCATCATGTCATTGAAATTAAATAAAATACATTTGGTCTTAATCATACTTTATTTTTGTATTGTATTTGTATCTATCTCCGATTATAGTTTACTTTCACTAGTTAGAATAGTGTCATCAATAAGCAGACTAGATCATGTAACTTCAGTCTCAAACGGATCTGATAATCTATTTGTTCACTGTGACTGGTCATAAGCATGGACTTAATTATGACATTGCTGCAATGCCATAATGATTCAGTAATCAATTGTCTTTCCTCCTTTATCTCGTAAGTAGTAATTTATAACAAATATCTTTGGATTCAATAACAAACCTATTGAAAATCCCCTTAGTTTCTAAAATAATTCACATTAGATCTCTAGGAAATCCATGGTATGCATTTTCCTAATTCAACAAAAATCATCTAGATTACTTTTTCTGAACTTTTCTTTAATTAATTGTTAACCTATTGCATCCAGGGTTAATCTTCCTAGAATCACCAGAAATTGTTAACAAGATCCATTTTATGTGCCATGAAGAGTTCATAATCTTAAAACAGAACGAAAAACAATTTGCTCATTAAGCCATCCTAGAAGTCAAATGGGACTAAACAGGAACGACTAGGCATGCTTCCAACTGCATTACGAAGAGCTTGATATTCGAAAATACTTGTGTCTAAATTGAGAATAATCCCAGTTCGAATACCTGATCCATAGCGAAGTCCAAGTAGTCTCCCATGGGACGACGTATAATGTGCTTCTCCGTCATCATGTAGTGGGCCTGTGCATACACCTGAAATCCTGAGTACACGAACCCGATCACGTTCACGGAGACGCAATACCTGGACCGATCACGGCACATGATCATCAAAGCTAAAATTGCTACGCCTTAACCAGAAGCCCGGCAATCAAAGGAGAAATCCTGGGCGGAACCATACCGGAATTGCTTGTAGCGGTTGTAGGAGTCGAGAGCCCAACCCTTGTCTCTATCGGCAGCCAGGACGGAGAAGGCGACGAGGCATAGCGCCGCCGCGGCAAGCCGGGCGCCCACCGCCGTCCGCCGCACCGCTTCCTCGCGT